TCTCATTGTAGCAAAAGATGCATATATAAGTGAATAACTATGGCTGTGTACCAATAAAATGCTATAAAAGCAGTGCCAAGCAATATTTGAGCCCAGGTTCATAGTTGGCCTATCCTTGCCCTTAAGAGGAGGAATACTTAGGCTAACTTTGGCATTTCGTCTATTTGATGGGAATGTAAATTCCTTGAGGGTAAGGGCTGTATTGTTACTTCCAGTTTCCTTTGACTATACCTAATGATTTCTCTCCTTCTCTAATGAAGAACAAAGCCGGTGGTGTGTTTCTTAGTACCTGCTACAGAAAACATCTCAACAGAGTCACTGACATACAGATTGCCTTCACCTTTTTCTTTCCTTTCTATCCCTACAGAAATTTTCAGAACCCAGTGAGCTGATGTGAACCATCTTTCTGAGCATGAGCACGTGAGAGGCAAACCTGGCAAAGAGAAATCTCTACTTTGGTCGTTATCATGAGAAACCTTCCATAGTCAATGGCTAAAAAATGTTGAAGAGAGAAGCATACAGGAATGGGAGAGTCTAGTCTCCCATAGTGTTTTTCTTTCTCACAGTTTCGATCTGTGCTTATGTGTGTTACAGACATGTGCATGCAGGTGCACACTCCTGTGAGTACATGTGGAGGCCATGAGGATATCAGGTATCTTCCTTTATTGTGTATCTTCCTCAATAGATTTCTACCTTATTCTCTTGAGAGAACCTGAAGCTCATTGTTTTTTGCTAGGCTAGCAGCCAGCAAGCACCAGCAATCCTTCTACCTGTTCTCCACCCCAGGCACTAGAATAACAGGTATGTACAGCCCTGCCCAGCTTTGTATGTGGGTGCTGGAGATTTGAATACAGGTCCTGATGCTTGTACAAGCAATTACTTTTATTCACTGAGCCGTGTCCCCAGGCCCTATTTGTTCTTTTTGAACCCTTCAGGTTAGAACATTTCCAACTGAAGCCTGCTATCCTGTGGGCTTAGGAACTCTTAGCTAGATTAGACCGCCTAAATACGAATGTGAAAGGTGGGGTTTACTGGCCTTGAGAGATCCAAAGCAAGTGGTTCCCTCCTGGTTCTGAGAAGGATCTTTGGGGGCTCCCTCAGGTGGTTAATGCGGGAACTGCTGGCTTTCTTTTTGAAGGTCCTCAAGTCTTAGCACACTTTGTGGCTACCTTTCCTGGAATAAGTAAGGAATAGAAAGCCCCTGGGCTCTGAGGAGTAAGGAAGTCTATATGGGATGGGGGGCAGTTGGGCCAATGGCTATTATACGATTGAGGACATAATTAGATGGACATGCAGGAAGAAATTATGTTGGAGATGGAGTCTGAAAGAATCGGCTGCTGCTTCTCCCACCCCACCGAGAGCAGTACGATGGGCGCAGGAGAATGCTGCTGAAGAACTAACTGCACGCAAGTTGGCATAAGCTGCGCTCCTGGGGATGGAAGAGGGGAGTTGGGAGGGAAAGAGGGTCAGTATACGCCATCACACAGCAAACCTGGAACCTCTGAAGGGCAGGAGGTCGCGGCTGTTCCATGGCTTCTGTTTTGGAGTCATGGATCCCATAGTGGAATAGTTCAGAGACTTGCAGACATGGGTGCCCACTGCTCCTTAGTTTCTGTCTACTGGATCCTTCTCCAAAGCAGGTTTCCCACAGCTGCTGAGCCCCAGTTCCCTGGCCTGTAATTTATTTGGTCCCTGTCTTGTCTGACATGCTGCTGAAAGACACAGTTAAAGGGCTAAATATGGTGCTCCGAGGCTGTAGACCCCACACACATATGTTGGGACTGTGGCTCTGCACTGCCATAGCCTGGCTGGCCATTCCCTTTTGTGGTTGCTGTTGTTCCTCTAGGACGCCAAGTCAGGAAAGATGACCACCTGTGCTTACTAGACACCCACTCTGTGCTGGCAGGGAAAACTGGTTGGCTCTGCCCCTCAAAGAACTTCTGGCCTGGGGAAAGTAGGAAAAAGTAAAGGTAGGAAATACATGAAATGAGGTAAAGGTCAAGAGCCATGGGCTAGGGAAACAGAGAGGAGACAGAGAAAGCTATTCTGGGAAGGAAAGAACTGGTCACTCTAGACCTGCACACAGGGCCTGCAAATACACCGAGAGCAAGGACAAGCTGAGGAAGTGTGTGGATGGCAGGCCGTGAGTCAGTCAAGGCGCAGCTCTGCTGGAATACAGCACATGCTAGCCTGGTGGGGGACGTGGGAAGAGAGGCTGTGAGAACACAGAAGCCCGCTAAAGTACGGCTGGTAGTGAAGCGGAAACTAGAACTGTTTTAGGTCTGACACAGCAGGTATAGAGACTGGGCTGGGAGAGGGAGAGATCACTCTGCTGTCACAGCACACCTGACTTGGGTGTAGATGGTCCAGGAAGAACTAGGTCAGCAACCACAGAGGAGGAAAGAAGTTCTGAAATGGGAGCTCACCCCAACAGACATACTGGGAGCAAACTGCCTTCCTCTGGCCCCGTTTCTCCAGAGAGAAAGTATCACACAGACAGGCAGAGGCTAAGCTCCATGCTCTAGGCAGCCACTGGAGGCCATCAGTCATCAAGAGTGGAACAGGTGGGGTAGCCCCTAGGCCTTGGGCCTGTGATGAGAGCAAGTTGTGTCTTGTAGTGGCTGCGGAGAGGCTCTAGCTGCACTCAATGATCTGGGGCAGGCTACTTTAGTGGTTGAAACCATCAGCAGGGCTTGTGGGGACAGTGCCAGGCCCACCCCCAGGCTCAGTTCAGCATGGTCGGGGTGTGGCCTCGGAATGAAATTTCTTGGCAGTCGTACTTCCTCCAAATGGAAACAGGGGGTGAACGTGTCTGAGTGAGGAATGTAGGGAGAGTGGTCAGCTGGGAAGTTAGGGTCTGTCTGGAGGACATGCATGCAGATATGTTTGTGCATCAGATGCATACTTGGTGCCTATGGAAGTCAGAGCAGGCACTGGACCCCAGGAACTAGAGCTACAGACAGCTTGCGAGTCTCCCTATGGGTACTGGAAACTCAACTGGGTCCTGTATAAGAGCAACACGTGCTCTTTACCACTGGGTGATGTGGGAGTGTCATATATCAAGCTGTTGATTTCATTGGCTGAGCAATAAAAGAAACTGCTTGGCTGGCCCTCAGCTTAGAACATAGATGGGAGGAGTAAACAGAATAGAATTCTGGGCGGAAGAGGAAGTGAGGTCAGACTCTGCTCTGCTTCTGGAGAGACCGGACAGCTCTGCTGGAGCAGAGACGCCATGCTCAGCTCTCCCGGGTAGACGCGATAGCTCTGCTCTCTGAGGCACATGCAATGAAGATGGACATAGGCTAGAATCTTCCTGGTAAGCGCACCTGGGGTGCTTACAAACATTACTAGAAATGGGCTAGTCCAGGTGCGAGAATTAGCCTGTAAGGGCTAGAGTTCATGGGCCAAGCAGTTCTTAAATGAATACAGTTTGTGTGTTGTTATTTCGGGCGTGAGCTAGCCAAGCGGCCGGGGTGTTGGGGACGCAGCCCCGCCGCTTCCTATTTCAACAACTGGGCTATATTCTTACCCCAATTTTTCCTTTTTGGAATTTGCAAGTTTTCTGTTATATACTAGTTGGGTGGCCCTGCTACAATATCCATGCCAGACAGGCAGATGTATGCCTGCTGTACTTACTGCAGGAACTCAGAGCAGCACCCAGCCAGAGTGTGTGGACGGCACAAGTGAACAAAAGCCACAGCTTGAGTCTTGACTATCTCCTATAGGATGATGTGTTGAAGGCTTGGACTCCATCTTCTGCTGCAACTGGGAAGTGGTGGATCCATTAACAGGTGTGGCCTACTGGGAGGAAGTTAAGCTTTGAGGCATGAGCTTGAATGGGATAGGGCACCGCAGTTCCAAAAGCAACAGAGCCAACCAACCATAGAGTAAGTTCTTTAAAACAGTTCCTGTTTTCAAGTAGTTTTTGTCAGGTATTTGGTCACAGGGACAGAAGGAAGAATGCACTGGACAACTGAGTTTGACAAGGGACATCTTTGGTCCAACAGCTGTTAACATTTTGAGGGAGTTTGAAGGCATTTGGTTTTGTCTGTTAGCTAGGTCTATTAGCTTCTCATCTAGCAGTTCTGATCAATTACTAAGCTTTGTTCCCATCTAAGGTGCATCTTTCCTTTCTGTGCTGAATTCTGATTTCCTTCAAAGTACATCCATTAAATGTTCAGTTCTAACTCATGTGGAGCAGTCAGGAGGATTTTCTTGATCCTTGCCCTCTACTGAGTAAATTGTATGAATCACTACAGGCTGTCCAGACCTACAGAATAAAGGTTATTCCCTGCCTTCCTCTTTAGCCTGACCAATGTCCTACTGCTTCCCAAAGTAGCCTTCCACTTGTGTCCTCTACTGAACTGAAGTTACACCAGTAAGTGCAACATACACCCTTATTTCATAGATGGTTAAGAAACACAGCACTCTGCTCAAAGTGGCTGGCTAGGAGACTCATCTCTTTAGTTTGAAATGCCAATTGGTGGCTCTGCATCAGTGATTATTTCTCCCTCCTTCATGTCCAAACTCAGTGCATCACCTACTCTGCAGAAACCATGTCACTTCACGTTGTCTTACATAAGTACATAAAATGCATCAAATTTTATCATACTTCAGGGTATTATGAATGGAACTCCATTACTGCTCTAAGCCTCATGAGCAAACCTGGCATCTTATTCACATTTATATCTGAATGCCTTGGCAGCTCAGCATGGTCTCTTCCCAGGCAGAGCTAATAAGCCAGCAACACAAACTGTATGGCTTTTATACCTTTATTATAGTTTCCCCCAATTGCCTTCCTACCCTTAAACAGTGATGAAGAAGAACTTAGAATTCTTCAAGAGCCAGGTGGTGGTGGCGCATGCCTTTAATTCCAGCACTCAGGAGGCAGAGGCAGGTGAGTTCGAGGCCAACCTTGTTTACAGAGTTGAGTTCTAGGACAGGCTCCAAAGCTACACAGAGAACCTGTCTTGAAAAAACAAAAACCAAACAAACAAAAGTTCTTCAGGAATACATTTTAATGAGTTCAGAGAACAAAAACACACTGTATTAGATGGGCTGTACTCTTTGGAAGATGAATGGCCTGATATGTTCTGTGAGGTGAGCTACAACGATGTCTGTAGGCCATTCTGCAACATCTCATGAAGGAGTTTCTTGTAGTGATATTTCATTTGTATTTTAATAAATAAAGCTTGTCAGAAGGCCAGAAAAACAAAGCAGCCAGCCACTGGCTCTTACCTCTCCCTCAGTCTGAAATGGCGATTCTGCCTTCAGGACTCTCAGAATGAGACTGTGACTGAGAGCTGTCTGCTCCTGTCTTATATTCCTCTCTAAGGCTGGGATTAAAGGTGTGCACCACTAGTGCCCAGTTCCTATGGTAAACTAGTGTGACTACTGGGATTAAAGGTGTGTGTCACCACTGCCTGGTCTATAAAGCTGACCAGTGCAGCTGTTTTACTCTCTGATCTTCAGGCAGGTTTTATTTATTAAAATTCAAATGAACTATCAGTACAGTTTCTACTCAAACATCCTGGAGATGAAGAAGGCCACTCTCTCCAGCTTATTACCAACCATGGTTTTAGGAGCTGACCAACTAACATAGCACACAATGTACACATCGCACTGACAACTAAAGACTGCCAACAGTTTCTGTGGATAGAGAGATGTTTTATGGTAAAACAAGGCAGGCAGACACTGCACTCATTTTTGAAAGAAACCCTGACATCATGCAAGACAGCAGGGAACCAGAAATGGATTTATTCTTAGGGATTGGTGGCTGGGGTTACAGTCATCAACACTTCTAACTATTCTACTAGGAACATATGAAATGTATGTCTAAGTCTTACTCTGTGTCAACAATTCTGGTTTTGCTTCAGTTTTTAAGACCTCGATCAAAGTCTTGTGGTTTTCATTTTATGTTGGTATACTCAGGGGGAGGGAGAGAGAAAGACCAAAACAGTAGATTATGCATCTGCCTGCTTTAGGAAGTCCAATGCTACCCTGGAAGAGACATCTGCTCTTGTCACCAGCAAGGGGCACATAGCTCAGAAGAAACTCAATTAAGGATATTGGCTCATCAGAACAGAGAGGAAAAAATTATTGGGGAGGGCTCTGGAGCACATCACTTGTTCTTCCGCAGGTGGTGGAAACTCTGCACAGTCCTTTCCACGGCGTCATCCATGGTGACCAATGGCCGGTATCCAATGAGCTTTTTGGCTTTCTCACAACTGTAGTAGTGGAATGTGCCAGCCAATGCCACTCGCATTGGTGTAAAAGTTGGCTTGATTTGGACGAGAGGACTGACCACCAGCACCAGCAGAGATAGCAGGAAAGCAAGGTAGTAGGCCACCCAGTAAGGGATGTGGTACTTGGGGGCCTCATAATTGAGGCCTGTCAGAATGCGAGACAGGAACGTCCAGAAAGGAATTGGTTCATCGTTGGTAATGTGAAATGCCTGGTAAAGGAACACGAAATTAGAGCCCTGCACAGCTGCTGGGGTGAGCAGGCCACACATGGGTTCTAAGCTCAACTAGCTGCTGGCTCCACTTGCAATTGTTACTGTGGGAAAGCAGAGGCACACTGTCCTGCCTGTCCTGCCTCTCTGGCAAGGCACCATGTGCATTAGCAGGTCTTACATGCCTAGCTGCTGCAATGTATCACAGTCTGTCTCAGACGCTCAGAATGGGCCGTGTAAAGGGCAGAGAGTGAAGGTGATAACAAAATCTACAAAGAAGCCAGGACTAAAAGTGAAGTTTAGCTTGCACTCAGGAAGTTACAATTGGTAATTATTGCCATGGTAAAACTCAGTTTTACATCTGCATGTAACAAATGGCCAATATTCAATCTTTCAGACATATTGTTTGTTCTAAACCATGTTATAAGTGGGAAAATAGAAAATGTTCACAGGGGAGAAAAGAGCACTCAAGAGATAAGAGTGAAAAACAAGGAAGACAGTGAGCCTGAGAAATAACAGGCAAGGTGGGGTAACAGAGTAGGTCCTCTCAACTCTGATGACTTCTGAATGGCTATATGCAGATCACTTGCGAGGAGTGCAGGAGTGTCAGGTCTGAACAATATTAGTCATGTGTGGGTGGTGAGGAAGGATGGAAATCTGAAATCTGAGAAGAAAAGTGACAAGTATCTGCCTAACACAGATGTGACCAGGCTTCGAGTGAACATGGGACTCTAGAGAACAAAGCCTTTAAGTCCTGGATTTTGGCTGTCCAAAGTAATGATGCTTCATTGATGTAGAACTTCCCAGTGGGTCCTAAGGTGCTGAGAGAAGCAAGTGCCTTACCTTCCCACCCAGAGCTACATCTTGGGAGAGGTGCTCGGCTGCCAAGATATGTCCATGAACCACATTCTCCACGAAGGTGAAGTCCACCAGGTTCTCCCCATTTCTGGAGGTAGATAAGAAATATTTCAGCTGTGCCCCACAAAGACATTTGAGAGACTAACCCACTTCTTTCTTATCAGTGCCTGTCTCTGGCACACTTGTGTGATTGCAACAGGTAATGAAATATGACTATGTAGAACGACCAGGACCTTTGGAGCAGTGAGATATTGAAGGATCAACCAATGAATGGGAGACTGTGGTGTCTTGCATGCCCCGGCATGACCAGTACTAGTGTGTCTTCTTGACCTTTGATTTGAGGTACAGACCTTGAACACTTTCCAAGGATACACCAGGCCAATGGTCTTCCAGTTTTCTCTCACTGCCTCTGAAATCCCTCAAAGCCTTAGATCAGAACATCAGTGAGATTTAATAAGTACAGGAAAACAACACATGGGGATAAAGAAGAAAAAAGAAATGTAAAAGGCACCAGGTGCAGTAAGGGGTTCATGTCTTGAATCCCAGTACTTTGGAGAAATCGTCCTTCACAATAGCCACAAATAACAAAACATCTTGGGGTAACACTAACCAAAGAAGTCAAAGACCCATTCAACAAGAACTTTAAGTCTTTGAAGAAAGAAATTGAAGAAGATACCAGAAAATGGAAAGATTTCCCATGTTCTTGGATAGGTAGGATCAATATAATAAAAATGGCAATCCTACCGAAAGCAATCTATAGATTCAATGCAATCCCCATCAAAATCCCAACACAATTCTTCACAGACCTTGAGAGGACAATAATCAACTTCATATGGAAAAACAAAAAAACCCAGACTATCTAAAACAATCCTGTAAATAAAGGAACTTCCAGAGTCATCACCATCCCTGACTTCAAACTCTACTACAGAGCTACAGTAATGAAAACAGCTTGGTCTTGGAATAAAAACAGAGTGGTTGACCAATGGAATCTAATCGAAGACCCAGATATTAATCCACACACCTATGAACACCTGATTTTTGACAAAGGAGCTAAAATAATGGAAAAAAGAAAGCATCTTCAACAAATGGTGCTGGCATAACTGGATGTCAACACGTGAATGAAATTAGATCCATATCTATCACCATGCATAAAACTACAGTCCAAATGGATTAAAGACCTCAATATGAATCCGACCACACTGAACCTGATAGAAGAGAAAGTGGGAAGTAGCCTTCAGTGCATGGGCACAGGAGACCACTTCCTAAATATAACCCCAGTAGCAGACACTGAGAGCAAAAATAAATAAATGGAACCTCCTGAAACCGAGAAGCTTCAGTAAAGCAAAGGACACAGTCAATAAGACAAAAAGGCAGCCTACTGAATGGGAAAAGATCTTCACCAACCCCACATCAGACAAAGGACTGATCTCCAAAATATATAAAGAACTTAAGAAATTAGATATCAAGCTACCAAATAATCCAATTAAAAAATAGGGTATAGAACTAAACAGAGAATTATCAACAGAAGAATCTTAAATGGCTAAAAGACACTTCAGGAAATGTTCACCAGACTTAGGCATCAGGGAAATGCATATCAAAACAACGCTGAGATTCCTTTTTGCACCTGTCAGAATGGCTAAGATCAAAACCACCAATGATAGCCTATGCTGGAGAGGATGTGGAGCAAGGGGAACACTCCTTCACTGCTGGTGGGAATGCAAACTTGTATAACCACTTTGGAAATCAGTGTGGCGGTTTCTCAGGAAATTGGGAATCAACCTACCACTCTTGAGCATATACCCAGAAGATGTCCAATTATTCTACAAAGACATTTGTTCAACTATGTTCATAGCAGCATTATTTGTAATAGCCAGAACCTGGAAACAACCTAGATGCCCCTCAACCAAAGAATGGATAAAGAAAATGTAGCACATTTACACATTAGAGTACTACTCAGCGGTAAAACAAAACAAAACAATGACATCTTGAATTTTGCATGCAAATGTATTGAACTAGAAAACACTATCCTGAGTGAGGTAATCCAGACCCAAAAAGATGAATATGGTATGTACTCACTCCTAAGTGGATACTAGCTATAAATAAAGGATATAGAGCCTATAGTTCATGATCCTAGAGAAGCTATGTAACAAGGTGAACCCTAAGAAAAACATATAGATCCACCTGCAAAGTCGAAATAGACAAAATTGCCTAACAAAATTGGGAGTATGGAAACAAGGGGAGAAGAGAGGAAGGACAGGGAAGAGGAGGAGAGAAGGGAATGGAGGAGGAGAACTTGAGGGAACAGGATGGTTGAGATGGAGGAAGGACAGAGAAGAGAGCAAGGAAAGAGATAGCTTGATTTAGGCATCCAGTATGTGGTTAGCAAGACACTTGGCTCTAGAGAAATTCCCAGGAATCCACAAGGATGACCCCAGCTAAGACCCTAAGTAATAGAGGAAAGGGTGCCTGATCTTGACTTGTCCTGTAGTCAAACTGATGAATATCTTAAATATCACCATAGAATCTTCATCCAGCAACTGATGGAGACAGAGGCAGAGACCCACAGTGGAGCATTGGACTGAGCTCCCAAAGTCCAGTTGAAGAGTGGAAGGAGTGAGAATATGAGCAAGGAGGTCAAGACCATGATGGGTTCACCCACTGAAACAGTCTAGCTGAGCTAATGGGAGCTTACCAACTCCAGCTGGACAGGGAAGGGACAAGCGTAGGACCAAACTTGTCCCTCTGAATGCGGTTGACAGTTGCATGGCTGCGGCAGACTGAGGGGCCACTGGCAGTGGCACCAGGATTTATCCTTAGTGCTTGTACTGGCCTTTTGGGAACCCATTCTCTTTGGATGGATACCTTGCTCAGTCTAGATATAGTAGGGAGGGCCTGGGACCTTTCCCAAAGCAATGTGCCTTACTGTCTCTGAGGAGTGGATGGGGTGGCTTAGGAAGGAGGTAAGTGGAGGGAATGGGAGGAGGGGAGGGAGTGGGAACTTGGATTGGTATATAATGAAAAAAGTTTATTTTCTTTTTATAAATAAATAAATAAATATTTCAATCTAGGAAAAAAAAGAACTGCTTCTGAATGTTTGTGTTCCTCAATATTCTTGTTAAAGCCCTGCTCTCATGAATGGGATCAATGCCCTTATAAAAGAGGCTTGAGAGCCTATTTGTCCCTTGGGTCACATAAAGATACACAGCAAGTAAGAGGATTAGATGCTTAGCAGACACCAATTTTGCTGATAGCTGATCTTGGACTCCTCTGCTGTGGAACATTTGTCTATGCTATGGAACATTTGTTTAATGATGCAAAGATGTGTTGCATTCGTTTATGCTGCATTTGTTTAACTCTGTGAAGCTGTGATTATTTGCCTGTCTAAAACACAGGAACTGAATGGCCAAGAATAAGACAGCATGAAGGACAGGTGGGGCTGGTAGATAGAGAGAATAAACAGGAGAAAAGGGAGATCTAGGAGCCAGAGAAGGAGAGGAGGATCCAGCTACACAGTCAGCCATGGAGTAAGAGTGAAAGTAGGATATTGAGAAGAAAAAGAAAAAGCCCACTGGGTGGTGGTGGCGCAGCCTTTAATCCCAGCACTTGGGAGGCAGAGGCAGGCGGATCTCTGTGAGTTCGAGACCAGCCTGGTCTACAAGAGCTAGTTCTAGGACAGGCTCCAAAGATACAGAGAAACCCTGTCTCGGAAAAAAAAAAAAAAAAAAAAAAAGAAAGAAAGAAAAAGAAAAAGCCCAGAGGCAAAGGTAGATGGGATACTTAGTTAAGAAAAGCTAGCTAGAAACAAGTTAAGCTAAGGCCGGGCATTCATAGTCTCTGGCGTGATTATTTGGGAGATAGGTGACGGGCCCATCAAAGAGCAAAGAACAAAGAGTAAAAAATCAACCAACAATACTTTCCAGTCTCCAGATCTGTGAGCTGTGAGTTACTCGTTTGTGAAGTTATCTAAACTATAGCTTTTTGTTACTGAAGCCGGAACAGACTCAGATGCTTCTTGGCACTCTCAATTATTATCTGGTGTGCTGCATGTGTGCTCACAGTCTGAAGGGAACAGAATGACCAATAGAAGCTGCCTTACCCAATCATGAACTTCATTTTGCCCTTTCTAGCCGCATCAATTAGGATGGGGACTAACTGGGGGTCCCTTGGGCCAAAAATGCCGTGAGGACGAATGGCTGTGGTTAAGAAATTCTTCTCAGGGTCGTTGGCATCCAGTACTGCCTGAAAGAAATCAAGAGAGAAAGGGGCACTGTAAGACTTTTCCTGGCTAAGATGGTACCTTACTGTATGTGGAGACAGATGAACGACATACTCGGTGTATGTGCAGGCCACTGGGTAGCTGTCTGTCTTGGCACAACATCTCACATTATAATTCTTATCCCATCTATCTCTGAAAAATCAACAGTGAAGGAGAAAACTGGCTAATACCTGCTAGGATGAAATCAGAAAGCTCAGGTCGGGTTCAATGGCCATACACACATGCAGCCAGAAGATGTATCTTGGCTTCAATTTATGGAAAAGGCCTGAGAGTTTTAGTTAATGAGGTAGACTTGAGCCTCCAGCAAGGCTACTACCAAACCAAAAGAGCTCCTGAATTCAGTGGTGTGTACGAGGCTTCAAACATACTCTTCACCATGTGACGAACAGTCTGCTCAACGACAGACAGATAGCTCGGGAGTTAGCTTGGCCAACAGAGCACAAGGACACATACATATAAAGATTAGAGTCCTAGCCACTTTAAGCTAGTTTTCAATCGAGTATATGACAATCACAGCTTCCTGACCCCACTCCCCTCAAATGCTGCTAAGTGTCTGTGGTGCTGAGGGGAATGGCCAAGCCTTCAGACGGCCTCTGACATGGTTATCTCTATGTTTGAAAAGTTGCTATACAAATCCTAAAGAAGACTTATTATGAAGAGGGTTTCGGGTAATGTTGATCTTGAAAACAAGGTAAGTTACTGCTGGAGTCTCCTTCAGTTTTTCTGACTTCTAGTTGAGTTCACGCCAGTGACATATTGATGGCTTGAGCTCAGGCTTCCATCTCGAGATCATAAGCCAACTGAGCTGTGGGCTGGAAGCCTAGCACCTTAGGTGACAGTGTACAGGGCCTCTGAGCTAACTAGTATTATCTGGAAGCCCATGGTAGGCTTTGGTTTCCCGTAAGCCTAGCTCCATAGAACAGGAGGGCATAGCCTGGGCATAGGACTTCTTAACTAGGGGAGAACAGGCTCTGTTGTGGCCTCCATGTGACTGTGTTCTGTTCTGAGATGGAGGTGAGCTTCAGTTTCCAAGTACTGGCCTGGAGAGCAAGCCTCAGTGTGTAATGTGCTGGAAAGGCCTAGGAAACGAGTCCATAGCTGCCCAAGTAACTGTAAGGGCCCAGGGCTGTCCCAGCCTGTAGTACAGGGTTTCCAGTGTCTAGGCGACCTCAGTGCTCAGCCCACAATTACACCCTCTTTAATCAGTGTATTTTCCTGTCATCTGGTAAAAGTGCCTGTCGTATTAGATATTTTTGGAGGTAAGGAAGTAGTCCCCAGAAAATATTGAGAATAGTATTTGGCCACAGTATATCATTCTGTCCTTTTGAATTTAATTCTGCAAATGAATTTACATTTCATGTTGGGTACTTGGGTCTCAAAATACTAACTTTTCCATATTCACAGACATTTTTTCTTATGAATGGAGACACTTGAGGTATCTGTTCATTTAATTGGCTTTGAAGTACATACTTTCTCCTGCAAGATCTTGGTCTCTGTGTAGTAGTCAATGGGCTTCATGGCATAAGGGAGGTCCTCAGTTCCATTTTTTATGTCCGTACCCTCAAAGACGACACTAGCACTGCTGGTTAAAACCAGTTTCTGGCAGAGAAACATTTAAAGGAAAACAAAAGTCAGGAAGTTTTGCTATTCCAATTGCCTAAGTGTCATATATGAGCGAGCCCCATCCACAAGGCACTTCCAAGTTACTTGCTGGAGTACATTTTCTTTTTAAGTCTTCTAAGAAAACCTTTGTAGCCATAGGGACTTTAGACACATTATGGTATTACAATTTAAAAGTAACGGATCTCATTTTTCCCATCCTATCATATCTAAGGGAGAAAACAAAACTAACACTATTCATGATAGATCTCTATGGGAGAGTGCCTTCATGGAGGGAAGGATGGACTACCAACCAGTAGGGAAATTTCTGCCTGCAAAATTCCACTGGATACTCTGATACCAATCTTGCCATGTAAACACAAGCATATGCATATGCACATAACTTAAGGCATGCTTTGCTAGTAGAGACAAGCACCTAGCACGTGTAAGGTTCAATTCACAGCAGCAGGATAAAAGGCAGGCAGGCAGGCAGGCAGGCTATATATGTTCTCTTTTGCAGATCCCCAGATTGCATCGTTCTGGTTAAGAGCGGTTCATCTGATACTGACATCATTGGTTCTGTTAGTTATATTTTTTACTGCTTTTATTCTATATCATTCTATAAATCCTAGCTACAGTGGTAAACAAACACCAATTTATAATGTTTTAAAAAAACAAGACACCAAACTAATCGCATTGGTCCAGTGTTTCTCAACCTTCCTAATGCTGTGACCCTTTAATATACAGTTCCTCATGTGGTGACCACAACCATAAAATTATCTCATTGCTACTTCATAACTTTAATTTTGCTACTATTACTAATTGTAACATAAACATGATATACAGGATATCTAATATGTCATATATGTCCTATATTAGATATCCTGTATATCGCATTTCTACATCTTTCGGTTATTTGATTCCCAAAGGGGTTGTGGCCCACGTGTTGAGAAGTACTGCCATAGTAGATGATAGAAATAAAAAGATACAATACATATCAAGTTGAGACAGGAACAAACCTCTCCCCGCTGTATTGAGGCTGAGCAAAGTATCCCTCCATAATTGACTCCCCATGGGAAGCCTTACCCTTTCTGAGGAGTGGATGGGTGATTGGGTGGAGGGGGTGGTGGTGAGGGAGGGAGAACTGTTGTTGGTATGTAAAACGAAGAAAAAACTTTTAAATAAAGAATATACAATGCCTACATGGAGTGGGTAAGCCTACAGAAAATATTAAGAGTTCAGCAAACTAGCTGAATTCAAAATCAATATAAGGAAATTAGAAGCTGGAGAGATGGCTTAGTGGTTAAGAGTGTTTAGTGCTCTTGAAGAAAACCCGAGTTGGGTTCTCAGCACCTATATTATATGACTCACAACCACCTGTAACTCCAGTTCCAAGGGGATTTGATGCCTTTGGTTTGGCCTCTGAAAGTTCTGTACACACACACACACACACACACACACACACACTCACATTCTCTCTCTCTCTCTCTCTCACACACACACACACACACACTCACACAAATAAATATCAAACAAAACTCCCTAAAACCACTATAAATCTATCTATCTATTTCTATACCTATCTATGAAAATTTGCTGTATTCCTAAACATTACCAGTAACTGAAAATGTAGTATAAGTTGGTGATTAACAAATGATGGGGTTCACAGGAATAAGTATAATAAAAGATGCATAAAACCTCTGTGAAGTACAGTACAATTATCACTGAGTGGCATTACAGATTGGGGGATGTTTCATCATAAATAGGAACAGTCAATGTTAGAAAGACATCAGATCTTTTTAAAATTATCCAGAACATAAATGCAACTGCAGTAACAATCCCAGGCAGCTTCATCAAGGAACTTGACAAGCTGATTCTACAGTGGAGGGGAAAACTTGAACAAAAGGCTCAGAGTAGCTAAGGGATCTTCGAAGAAGTTGGTCAGATACTGATATGTATGCTAAGGTAGAGCTTATACCCATGAGATCAGACAGAGGTCAGTGTAGTAGACAGAAAACCTGGGAACAAATTCAGGCAGAACAGGATGCTCAAAGGATGATGCAGGCAGGATATATGTGCACAAAGTTTGGATTAAGCCATCAGCATGCTGAACTAATTATTTGAAAAAAAATTGATCATGATCCTGTTGCATATATCATAGATTCCTGGTTAATTAAATTTAAATATACAAAGTAACACTTTAAATATTTGAGATAAAACACATTAAAGACTTTTGGTTTTTGTGCTGGAAATCAGTTTCTCTTTGGCCTTACACACTAAGCTATCTACCCCCTTAGAGGACAAACAAGATATATATATTTCTCAAAATGCATAAAGTTTCAGAAAGACATGTTCAGCATGACATGATATTAGTGTTCCAAAGTTCTACAACATGCTGTTAGTGCATGGAACTAATAGGAATAACAAGTGCAGGTTTAGAACCACTGTCCCACATGGGCAAAGAAGGGGCAGTGGCAATGAGGAAGGGGCATAGGTGGCTTCAGTCATGCTAGTAGTAAGCACTATGCCCTCTGTTTTGTTCCATTTCACAGCAGCGGGGCCTTCACAGAACTCCAGCTACATACACATCCTGGAGTGGAGAGTCTGGAACGTGGCAGCAGAGGGCCTGCTTTGAATCCCACCTCTTTTATTTACTACCGGAGACTCTGCTTAGCCCCTGGCTACCTAAGGAAAAGAAAAGTAGGTGACAAATACAGTAGGGCAAAGCTCTTGTCAAGTACAAAGCATAACTGAGTATGACAGTTGGTTCTGATGGGTTTGGAATCACCTAGAAAGTACACAGCTGGGCATGCCTGAAGGGGTTTAGCTTATGGAAGGAAATCCGCCCTGAATGGGATCATGGGCTGAGGTCCTGAACAGGAAGTTAATTGAATACTGTCATTCATTTCTCTCTACTTCCTGCTTACAGATGTAATACGATTAGCCAATGGGAATTTTAACTGATGGGAATACAAAAGAGCTCCCTTCTCACCTACTCATATTGGACCCATTGATTACTGGGAACTGGCCAAAGGTCTCCAGGAAGATAACTGGAAGAAGAGCCCCTACTCTCTGTACCCTTTTCTCAGTTTCACAGATCTCTAACAGTGTTGCAAGCTGATACAAGGCCAAAATTTGTATGCTTTTTGGCCTAAGTCAGCATAGGTTTCTATCACGTAAAAGCAGTAGTGCCCCCCCCTTTTAAATAAAAGCAGTTTGATAAACGATGTGAGGAATTGTTTAAAGGGTTCAGCACAAAATTAACTTATGATCCAGGAATCCCACCTCTGGGTAGCTACCCAAAAGAATCAAAAGTGAGGACTAAGACAGGCATTTGTAGTCTCTGTTCATGGAAGTATAATTCATAGTAGCCCCAAAGCAAAAGCAACACAAACGTCTACTGATGGCTATTTATTCTCTTTCATGTGCATGGAAGTGTGTGTACGTATGGAGGTCAGAGGTCTATGGTGGAGGTCTTCCTCAGTCTCTCCATCCATAAATGGGGAGTATTAGTCTTGAAAAATGAAGGAAATTCTGATGCACTACAATGTAGATAAACCTTACAAACATTGTGGTAAGTACAATAAGCATACCACAAAAGGATAAAACCTGTTTGAATGCACTTATAGTAAGAGACAGAAGTGGAGAATAGTGGCTGCCAGGAGCCAGGGAGGGGCAGAAGACTGCAGAACTTCTGTCTACTGCACGGATAGAGAAGACAGTGATAACAGATAATGAAGTGAATATAGCTAACATCACTGAATGCATACTTGTAAAAGGGTTACAGTGGTTACAAAGTATATTGAAAACATTATGTACACGTTGTTTCAACAGAGAAAACAAGCAACATCAAAATTTCATACCTCTTGAAGCAAAAATGAATAAGCCTTAGTGTATCTGAACACTCAGATGGTCTATCTGTATTGGAAGAGTATAACCTCAACTGGCTGGCCCTCTGTGACATCAACTGGCGCCCAGGGCTTAATTTTTAGTATCTTCTTAACATGAAAGAGGCAACCCTGGATGAGCCCAGGAACAGGGTTCAAGGGAACGACTCCACCTCCCCTCCCTCTAAGAAAGCAAGCCCATGCTCCAGATACTAGTCACCACAGCATTTCCCTTACCTGAACCCCAGCCTCTTTGCAGGTTTCAATGACATTCTTGGTGCCAATGAAATTCACTCTATAAAAGAGTTCCTTGTTGTTACCGGATGGTGGGGGTGACGCACAGTGGAAAACTGTGCTTACACCTTTCAGAGCTGGGTACAGGTCCTGGAAAAGCACACAAGACAAAAGAATCATTCCAGCTTAGGGCAGGTCAACAACCTTCTCACGTTCTCGCATCTGTGGCCTGTAGGCCTTTTGGATTTTTATAATCCTGTAAGCAACACAGAAACATATGCTTTGTAAAAGACTCAAACTACACAGGAGTATGTGGGATAAAACCATGTTTTCTTTGAACTGCCCCTTTAATTACCTTGTCCAGAATAAAAAGGGAGTATGAGAAGTCAGACACCGCAGTGACTGGAAGAGGCATACAGTGACTCAGTTTCACTTACTAGAAGGAACCTTGTAAGACAATCAGGCAGCTGCAGATCTGGGCGTAAACACACTAAACGAACCAGGAAGGCCTTTTCATATTGTGAAGTAAAGAGGCTCTCCAAGCCTGCTGGAGGCTTCAAAGACTTAAGAACCAACACACAGAGACTCCTACTGGCCAATGAGGAGGCTATTTGCTCAGCAGTTAGAATAAGAGTGGTTAGTGAAAGTGGAGAATAGAGATTAATTGATTAATTCGAGCAAAAAAGATCTGAGGGGCTAAATGAACAGAATGACAAAATGCCACCAGTGTGCCAAATCTCCAAATTCATGGTTATCACCAGAAGAAAGAAAAATCACTAGATGCCATAAAATCCTTTGTCACTATACACAAACATAATAGTTCTGGGAAACCATTTGAGAGTAAGGAGTCACCTTCTAGGCCCAAATAACTATCAAATGATGAACAGTAGGCACACTCCAACACACAGGATATTCTTTTCAAAATTAAATTTTATATTGTTGTGTGTGTGTGCGTGTGTGGATACCAGAAGACAACGTAGGATATCTCCCCCCTCCCTTTTTGAGACAGGGTCTCACTATGTAATCAGTCTGGCTGGCCTGGAACTTACTATGTAGATCAGGCTGTCCTCAAATTCACGAGATCCGTCTGTCTCCACTTCTCACATTTTAAAAGACACCTTGTAGTTTCAGTAGGCTGACTAGCCAACAAGCTCCTGAAATTTACCCATCTCCACTTCTCTAATACTTGGCTCATTGGCTTGCATGACCATGCATAGCTTGGGATTGTTTGTGTGCTCGGAATATTTGAACTCTTGCTTTAATACCAAGTGCTTTTACTCACTAAGCTATCTCCTTATCTCCTAGCTACTCTTAAGTTTGTTACTCCATATTTAAGCCTTCCTAACCATTCTGACAATATCCTTTATATGTGTTTTTATTTGGGGGTTTAGGGTCCAAATGTGGACCACTCATATGTGAACCTTGAGTCCTTTTCATTTCTGTTAATCTGGAGCAATCCCCTGAGTTTTGCTTTCCCGTAATATTTCACAGGACCAGGGAGGTTAATTTATTGACTTTTGCTCGATTTGCATTTGTTTGTTCATTCACGATTATATTCACTTAATAGTTTTGGCAATTTCCAGATTCCCTTTATGGTTTTGTCTAACTTGTGCAAGTGGCTACCAGAATTCAGGTAAGTACATTTACTGACTGCACAGGATGAGGGTGTAAATGAGTGGTATGGAGCTTCCCCACCCACCCTGTGCACTAGCCTCCAGTCTCACGACATAAGCAAAACTGAAGCATAGAAATAAGGAAAGTGAAACGGAAGCCCGGCAAGGTCTGGCAGGTCAGATTCTTCTTGGCTGCTCTGTGTAGCATTCCTTCCTCCTAGATATGGAGATGGATCCCTTCTGACACTGGGTGGGGAAAAGCACATAAGACCCATCTTTAGGAAGATGAATTGTAGTTCCTATAGCCTGCATTACAGAAGGAACTGTGAACTAGGAAATGTGGATGAATATTTATATCTCTGCTGTATCTATTCTTTCTCTCTTCTCTCTCATGTGTGTGTATACATGCACAGGGGTTTGTAGCCATGAAGCACCAGGATGGGGGGACCTGAACCACACCAAGTCTTTAGTTTTATAGAAATAAATGAAATTGGATGTGGTGCCTCATATGTGCAATCCCAGCATTTGGGAGCTGGAAGCAGAAGGATTGGTGTGAATAGGAAGCCAGTATGCTCAACATAGTAATAAGTTCCAAGCCAGCCTAGACTACAAAGCAAGACCCTGTCTCAAAACATACATCCTATCAAAGTCTAAATTTTATAGTAATAGACATAATCAAAGTAAAACTATTAAGGTATTTATTGGTTTTGTACTCAGTCTTCGAAATTCAACTTGTATTTTAAAGTGTCTTTCAGTGCAGACTTGTCTTAACTGAATGCTAGATGGGCATATGTGCCCAGTGCCTGCCTCACTGGACAGTGTACCAGTTCACAGGAAACAGCAGGTGGCAGAGACATGCTGATGTCCCGAAGATGCAATTAGCAACATCCAGACTCTAGGAAATGCTGTTCGATGATGAACAAGCTAAGCACCACTAAGTCAACACACATACTACAGCATCTTGGCAATTTAGAAATCAAATAGTCTCAACTGTGTTTAACTCTTTATTTGAAAAAACAAATATAGATGTCTTATGAAGTAGTTAATGAATGACTGACATTAAGGAGCATTATTATTATTAATGGTGTCTCTGAGATTGACAATTATGTAATGCTTTCCATAAAAATGAGTTTTATGTTTTAGAGATAAAAACTGAAATGTTTACACATGGACTGATAGATATGTTGAAGATTGGCTTCAAAGTAACTGGGACACACCGAGAAGATGGCAGCAAACTGCTTGATGTGCAAGTATAAGGGTCTGAGTCGGAGCCCTAGGATCCATGTTAAAAAAAAAAAAACAATAACACAACAACAAACCAAATCAACTAAAACCAAAACCAAACATCTGGTTGCTTGGAAGGCAGAACCAGGACCTAAATAGAGTGCACTGAAAGGGGGTCCTGCTGCTGGCAGCACTGGGAGGCTGAGGCAAAAGGATTATTTTTAAATGTTCCCCTGCCATGTTCTTACCTGCATCATGTCCACCTTTCTTTCCTTAGCTCAGAATTCAGAACCCACTGTTGGAGCTTTGCCTTACTCCTCTGACCCTTTATCCCATTTGTCTGACAAATGCCTGCTCTGGTCCAGTGCACCTTGTCCCCAGTCCCTGCCTGCACTGGAGATGCTGAGTGTGACTAGAGAATCAGATACAGGTGTGGGCAGGCTTTTAGAGTGCTGGGGCTACAACCTGAAGGAGAATTTGCTCAGACAAAAGGACAATATCCTTCAAACTCTTGGTGAAGAAACCCTAAGAACAAAGCAGGTTTCTCTAAGAGGCGGGGGTTCTAATCAGGACACTGCATAATTTTCTCCCCAAGGTTCCTGCCTGTCCCACTAACTTCGCACTTCCCCCCACAACCACATAAACTTCTTCTCTGAATTCAATCTCAGTTGTTCTCGCCTTCTTGCCCTGTGCACAGCCCCTCTCTCGCCCACCGGGGACTGTCTCTCTGGAGAACCCTGGATGACATGTGACTTGAAGAGAATGGTGCAGGCAGATGAAAATTATGCAGGACAACAAAGGGGCTATGGAGCCAAAGCTGGTGAGAAAACAGTAAAGACAGTGACAGTAGAAATGGCCACAGTTGCTCCTGCTGCAGTGGTAGAGAGCAGGACCAGGAAGGAAGAGGTAAAACAGTGCCCAACATGCCGTGTCTCCCATAGAGAGAATGTACTTATTTGGGAGGACAGGTCTGGGCTAGGGATTTACAATGGGAGTAGAGGAGTAGAGCATTAACTGCAAAGGAGAAGAGACAAACCAGCAAGGCTATCTTCTTAAGCATCCAATTCAACAAGAGTACCAGAAATGCTGATGCGGGCATCATCAGCAAGGAGCTGAAACCACTGTGGAAGTCACTTGTGAAGGAGAAGAAATGATTATGGATGGCTGCCATAAACAGACCCAACAGCTTTGCTGAGCAACTTTGCTGATGTAGGAGGGTCATCTGTCTATGTGTTACTTTCATTGGTTAATAAAGAGACTGCCTTGGCCTTTTAATGGGTAGAAAATTAGGTGGGTGGAGTAGACAGAACAGAATGCTGGGAAGAAGGCAATGAGGCAGACGACCCAGGCAGATGCTAGCTCTCCTCTCTAAGATGGACGCAGGTTAAGATCCTTCCCAGTAAGCCAGCACCTTGTGGTGCTACACAGATTATTAGAAATGGGTTAATCAAGATGTAAGAATTAGCCAGTAAGAGGATAGAGCTAATGGGCGAAGCAGTGTTTAAAAGAATACAGTTTCCGTGTAATTATTTTGGGTAAAGCTAGCCAGTGGCCAAGAGCTGGGAGGCAGGAAGCAGCCCGCAGCTCTTACTACACTTTGCAAAACCTAAAATATTCAAAAAATCTGGCCACCTATGAACTTTGCAGAACAGAGAAAATGGAACAACTGAAGTGAATGGGCAGGGCTGGGATGAGAGTGGGAAGTGAACATGTACAAGATTTCCTTTGGAAGTGAACATGTTCTGGAAGTCAATAATGGCGAATGATTGCTGAAATATATATAATATAGATTTTCAAACTATAGTTTTCTTGGCCTTTGAGCACTTGGTTTTGCCTTTGGGGGGTCCTACAGGAGATTAGTGAAGCAGAGTGGGTCCCTTACCTGTTGGCTGCAAAGATCGCCTATAAAGAACTGCACCTGGGGGTTATCAAACCCTTGGCGGATATCGAATACATTGACAGCATAGCCTCGTGCCAGCAACTGCTCCACCATGTGCTGCCCCAGGAACCCAGAGCCTCCAATCACCGTGCACTTCTTGGCCTGGGGAAAGAGGGAATGGCAAGAGGACCAGAAGTGTGAAGACTAACATGATAAAGGTCAGACTTATGTGCCAGGAGCCATTGCAATGGCATATACATGTGTCTGTCTGAAACTGCCTAAGCTCAGGGAAAAGCTTAGTATAGCTGTGTTTGATCAGCAGTGTCACCTGTTCTCCTGGGTTTAACAAGAAGGAGAGAGAAAACAAATGACTCTAGGCTAGACTGGTAGATTTGATGACATAATCCACACCTTATATTTAGTGGAAGGGAATTAAAAGTCCTATGATCACACCAGACAATCTAAACAAGCAAAAAGCCAAAGGCTGTGCCTTCTTGTTCCTGATTGGTAATCCCTTGCCAGAAAAAAAAAAATCTAGCCATTTCAGAGTTTCTAATGAAAGCATCCGTTTCCAAACTCAAAGGACAGTGATTTTCTCTGCCTCCATGCCCATAAGGGAGGGTGGATCTTGTGGCTCTGGGATGACCACTTAACCCCTTCTGGCCTCAGCCCATGTATTAAGTGCTATGCTACTAGGATCTCCATGTAGAACCAGGGAGCCATTTATCACTCAGACCCAGGGCTTTGCCATGCTGTCTCGGAACTCAGAGGAATGGATGACTCAGCATTGGGATGTGGTATTTAGATTCCAGCTTCCCCAGTGCATCCAATTTCTTGGCTAAATTCAGACTCTGGGAAGTGGGGTAATGGAAGGATAGTATACCACTTGTAGGTGTATAAGTATTAGAACTCCAGGATATCAATGCAAATGTTTGCTGGCATCTGCTCAATAATCTGGAGACCTTATCAGTAACCTTTTCTCACTGCTGTAAGAAAATATCTGTCAGATGCAGCTTAAGGAAAGAAGGATTTATTTTGGCTCATGGTTTAAGGGATACAGGCCATCATGGTGATAAGACATGATAGCAGGAGAGGCAGGTGGCCATACTGCATTTCTGGTCAGAAGAGAGGAAGGTACACACACACACACACACACACACACACACACACACACACTGGCGCTTGGCTGACTTTTTCCTATCACCTTTTCACTGAGTCTGGGATTCTAGCACATGGGATGCTGTCAGCAACATTTAGGGCAGGTCTTCCCTCATCAGTTACACATATCTGGAAACAACCTCACATCCTCAGAGGCTTGTCTTCTAGGCATCTACAAATTTAGTTCTCTTGACAATGAAGATTACCCACCACACTACCACTGTCCCTAAGCTGTACCTGGGCTTCCCTAAGATGACAGACCCAATTTTCTTAGCTTGTATGGAGTCAGTCAGTGTTGGCTATGTGAATAGTCAAGATCAAAAAGAACTCTGTTCCTTATTATAAAGTAAAGCAACCAACCTCCCCTCTTTTAAATAATCTTAAAATGATTTATCTTTATTTTACATGTATGGGTATACACTACCTGCACGTATGCTTGTGCATCGTATGCAAGCAGTGCCTGTGAAGGCCACAAGAGGGCGTAAAATACTCTGAACTGGAGTTACAGGTGGTTGTCAGCCAATATATGGATGGTGGGAAATGAACCTGGATCTGGAAGAACATCAGTTGCTCTTAACCTTCCCTCTTGTACCTTAAACATGGACATAAAAAAGCTATGTGACATACTCAGGACTTGTCAGGGCCAGGTACCATCTGCAGATTTCTCTCTCTTACTGTGGATGTCCATTCTAAAATGGCTCTCATATCTGTAGACATGATCAGCCTCATCAATGCCCATCAACTGCCTCTCTGGCAATCTTTCCCTTCCATCTCTTTCTACCTCAGTTTCACAGGCAAATTGTATGCACTTAGAACCACTCTGATTTTTCTGGCCAGTCCTCAGAGCTCCCTGCTGATGCTCTCCAGCACCTCTAGGTTCAGAGATCACATAAGGCTCAGAGTCCAACTGTTTTACAAAAAGTCAATTTAGGGACTGGTGAGATGGCTTAGTGGTTAAGAGGGTTTGCTATGCAAAGATATGGTAAGTTCAAATCCCTAGCACCAATGTGAAAAGTCAGGCATGGCTGTACATGCCTGCAAGCCCAGATTTAAGGGACAGGTGGATTCGGAGAACTTGCTGACCAGCCATATTAGGCAAAACGACAACCTTCTAGTTTACAGAGTACAGTAGTTTGAGTAAGAATGTCCCCCATAATCTTGGCATTTGAATATCTTGTTCCCAGTTGGTGATGCTGTGTGGATAGACTTATGAAATATGGCCTTTCTGAAAATATGTCACGAGGGGTGGGCTTTATTTAAAGTTTCAGTCTCCTGTCATTCCCAGAACTCTCTCTTTGCTTCATGCTTACAGTTCAAAATGTGAGTGTTCAGTTTGCTGCTCCAGCCACCACGTCTGCCTACTGCCATGGTGGTGATGGACCCTTCTCTCTCTGGAATCATACACCCAAATAAACCCTTTATTCGATGAGTTGCCTATGTCATGGCATTTTATTACAGCAATAGAAAAATAATTATTATGGCAATAGACTGTCTAAAAGAAATAGGCGAAGAGCAATAAAGATACCCCGTGTCAGCAGGGCGGTGGTGGCGCACGCCTTTAATTCCAACACTAGGGAGGCAGAGGCAGGCGGATCTCTGTGTGATGTGGGATTCCCCTCTGTATGCTGTGAATACCATTGGTTAATAAAGAAACTGGCTTGGCCCTGATACGGTAGAACAGAGTTAGGCAGGGAAAATTAAACTGAGTGCTAGGAGAGGGAAGGCAGAGTCAAGGGAGAAGCCATGGAGCCGCCACTGGAGACAGACTCTCTGGAACTTTGCTGGAAGGCCACGACCTTGTGGTGATGCACAGATTAATGGAAATGAGTTAAATTAAGATGTAAAAGCTAGCCAATAAGAAGTTAAAGCTAGCTGGGCAGTGGTGGTGCACACCTTTAATCCTAGCACTCGGGAAGCAGAGGCAGGTGGATCTCTGTGAGTTCGAGGCCAGCCTGGTCTACAAGAGCTAGTTCCAGGACAGGCTCTAAAGCTACGAGAAACCCTGTCTTGGAAAAAAAAAAAAGTTAAAGCTAATAGGCCAAGCAGTGATTTAATTAATACAGTTTCTGTGTGATTTTTTTTCAGGAGTCTGGGTGGCCAGGAAACAAACAAGCTACTTCCTTACAACATCTGTGCATGAACCACACAAGTATAGGCATGTATATATATGCATACACACACATACACACACACACTCTCTCTCTCTCAACAAACCCTCATAATTTTGTATTTGTTTACGTATTTAAGCATTTATTTATTTGTTGAAATGGGGTCTCTCTAAGTATCCCTGGCTGTCCTGAATTCCTTATGTAGACCAGGTTGGCCTTGAACCTATAGAGATCTATCTGCTTCTGCCTCCCAAATCCTGGGATTAAAGGTATATGTCATCATACCTAGCTCTCATTTCTAGATTTTAAATGTGATTAATCAGTAAATCTATTCGTGAACAGGATGACATGGATTCCCTCCTTATACTGACATATTACACTGATATTATTCCTGGGACAACTGAGCCAACAGCTAGTCAATAGATTTTTATAGTGATGGAAATCAAACTTGCCTCTGTTCAGAGATGTCAAACATGCAAAGGTAAATGTCTTTAATCCTATGTCTAAGGCTATGTGAGGAGGCCATGTGAAATAATCAATAACTTTTTGTGACCATAGCAGACAAAAAAAGAGAATAAATACTGATAAAAATGAACTTTCAGATGGGAAACAAGTACTGAGAATGGACCAAATGGATAAATAAGCCTCTTGGAGATGATAGTGTTAGGATAGGAGAGGAATGGACTTGGGTGGGTGTACAGCTCAGTGATGGAGCATATCTGTTAGGCTATGTTTTATTTCTAGCACCACAAAATAATTTAATTCAACTGTAATATAATCTCAAGAGCATGGCTGGGGCCCCTGGGTTTTCTCCAATATTTTTGGTTTTACTTTTTCTTCAACAGGATAATGTATGTTTTTTTTCAGAGCAGTCCTACCTAGAATAAACATATAAGACAAAAGTATTCTTCCTTAGTAGTTTATATTTACACATTTATTTCTTTGAAAGTCACTCCATGGAAAAAAAGGGCTCATTCCAAAGCATTAAAGAAGGTTCAAGAACCAGGTGGTGGTTGCACACACCTTTAGTCCCAGCACTTGGGAGGCAGAGGCAGATGGATCTCTGGGAGTTCAAGGACAGTCTGGTCTAAATGAAGGAAAGAAAAAAAAAGAAAAGAAAAGAAGGAAAGAAGTGTGATGTATCAGGAGTGAAGTACATCACTATAAGCTTGAAGACCTGGCCTATGTAAAGAATCACCACCACAGCCTGGCCTCCCCTACTCTTTTAAAGTACTTACTTTGGAAATGTCTTTTGTCGAACGTGTCTCTTTTGATTCACCAACTGCTTGTTCCATTATGGCTCAAACTATAGTCTTGTTTGCAAAATCAACTCTTCTTCCTAAAGACATAATTAGAGAAAGACATTAATAGTAATGAAGCAAAGCATCTCCAGCTATTATCACGAGTGTTCATAAATAGCTGAGCCATAGCTATACCCACTGGCCAAAGTACCCTGTGCTAGAGTCTGCTCTCTCGGGGTATGGTAGGCCCTGAAATTTACAGAGCACTGGATTAAAGGTAGGAAAGGAAAGCAGATAAATATGACTCCTTCACTAACTCAAACCAAAAATCTTTGGGCTGTGGTTGGAGAATGGTGGCGACCAAGCATTTCACAATGGTAGACAAGAGTAACCAAATACGATGATGCTACCAAACAGAAAAGTGCAGCCCAGGTGAAGGCCTCATCACATACTCCCCTCTTCTTTCACCCACAATATCAACTTGCAAACACGAGGTATTTACTGATGCAATATGTGTAAATGGCAAAATGTACCAGAAATAAGAGTCTATCTATGAAAGAAGATGCAGAGAATGCCAATGGGGAAAGAAATGTCAGGCAGTCAGCACTGACTGGGTCTTGAGATGGCTCCAATCCAATTTCCACACTTTCAAATGGTAGGTGCCATCATATTTCCCCAGAGGACTTGATTTTAGGACTGTACTGATTTTGTGGGCATATCAAAGACCCAAATATCCTTGAAATTGATTATTACAACCCTCAATGTTTGATGGGTCATTTACAGAGAGGTTTTACAAACTCATAATGGAAGTTATTAGTTGTCATTATTAATTTTGTCAAACTGACAGGATTTAGAACCCTCTCTAGGAAGACTTCTGGCCTGCCTGTGAGGACATTTCCAGAGAAGTTGAGCTGAGGTGCGAAGACCTCCACTGAATGTGGGTGGCACTATCCGTGGACTGGGATCCTGGACTAAATAAAAGTGTGAAAGCAACAGAGATGTGGCTCAGTGGTCAAGAGTACCAGCTGCTCTTGTGGAAGAACTGTGCTTGGTTCCCAGCACCCACATGGTGGCTTACAACTGTCCTAGTGTGTTGGAATCTGACACCCTATTCTGTCCTCTGTTAGCACTAGGTATACACGTGGTGCACACACACACACAATGCTTATACACGTAAAATAAAATTTAAAAATCTTAATTATTTTTAATTTAAAAAAGCAAGAAAGTGAGTTGAGCATCAGCATCTGTTCCTCTCTGCTTCCTGACCGCAGATGCAACATGACCTGCCACCTTACACTCCTGACATCATGACTGCCTCACCATGATGGACTGTATTCTCATACCATACTAAACCTCTGCCTTCCATAGGTTGCTTTTCCCCAGGTATTTTCTCGCAGCAACAAGAAAAGTAACTAATGCATCAGTTCAGTATATTTCAGAACTTGCCTTCTCCTGGGTCTCTGTGCATACATCTAATGACGATGGATAGCCAACCTGTAGCTCTGTGGTTACCCCATCCCTCTCTTTATTGCACACTTATCGGGACCTGACATCTACGCACCTCAAATAGACATGGCTCACATGGCTCTACATAAGTAAGACAGAAGCTGCTTGAGTTGCAAGATCACGGCACAAATCAATCAGTGGAGTTAGTGGGCACCCAAGCCTCAGACATAGTTAGGCCTCATCATCACTCCCCTCAGGCTTAGCACCCTGTACAGGACCAGGTCTGATGATGCAATGGGAAGACAAGGACTCCCGCAATGCTAACACTTACTCACCCAATGGATACGTTATCTTGAGAAAATACTGCAAAGCAGAGGTCCTGTAAAAAAAAGAAGAAGAAGAAGAAGAAGAAGAAGAAGAAGAAGAAGAAGAAGAAGAAGAAGAAGAAGAAGAAGAAGAAGTAGTAGTAGTAGTAAGGCCTCTCCCTACAGAATTCAAAGACGACATGGCACAGGGTGAAAGCGCTTAGGAGGGCATTTGTTTCCAGAGGTCTCAGGTGAGCCATCCAACTGGACTCTGTCTTTTCACAGGCCACATGTCCCTCACTTCCTCATATCGCTTGATTACTTTTCGGTCACAGAAGGCACCCAGCTTTAAATTTGCAATGGGCCACCCAGCAGTCCCTCACCACATCCAAGCCGAGCTTCTATTGCTCCTTTCTTATCTCCTTTCTGGGCCAAGGTGAGTTCTCCCTTATTCTTCAAGGCTGGTCTCAACTTCCTCACCATCTGTTCTCAATGCTCTCCTCCTGGGTTCAAGCACCATCTGGTAAATTACCTGTTGCTGTTGTTTTCGGGGCTGCATCTGGGAAAGAGTCATCTTTCCTGCCTACCTCAGATTGCTATGGGGCTCAAAGGAGCCCACAGGACCGAGTGTCACAAATTTTCAAACACCAGCCACTGTTAGGTAGAAACCAGTGAAAACACAGTTCATGCCTTCAAAGAAATCAACTTGTGTGGAAAACAAAAAGCTTCAAAGAATGACAAAGCTGTGTTTGGGTCCTAAGGAGGACAAGCGGACAGAACCAATGTAGGCTGCTTGGTCACATGAAGTAACCTGACAGAAGAAACGAGAGACTGTTCACCTTTTAGCAGTCAGGAAGCAAGAGAGGTAAGAACCCCACAATCCACTTCCAGGCCATGACCCTAATGCCTTAACAGTTTCCCAGCAGATCCCATTTTGTACAGGTTCCACTACCTTCCAATAGCACCATGGGTGGGGACCAAGTCCTCAATACAGGGACTTCTAAGGAATATTTAAGAATCACTTTTTGCAAAGAGTATGGAGGGACACGAAGTCAAGAAGGTCAGCAGGGGTAAAACTGCAGGAGGCTTCAGTGGGCTTTACTCTTTAAACTGAAGTTTATAAGCAGGGGACTGATCTGACCAGAGCTGGTCACAGCAAATTAACCTGGTGGAGCATGTTTGTATGTTGGTAGAGGGGTATATAGGTAAATTATGGGAAATTAAGAAACTACTTACCAACTTGCTGATAGACTAAGTTTCACTGAATACCTAACACATATTCCTCCCTGCTCCAGGTACTAGAGTGCCAGCAGCGAACAAAAAATAGAGCAAGATGAGGGGCTCGTATACAAAATGAGTAAGTCACTTACTTTAATGAGAAGGCGACAAGGGCCAAAGAACTGGAGTGGGGAGGAGAGATGCAGGGCCAGGTGAAGCGAAAGTTCAGGGTGGGAGGTGCATGGCTCTGGAAGGAGTAGACAGTGATATGATCGAAATATATTGCCAAGCTGGGCACAAAGGAGCACACCTTTAATCCCAGCACTCAGGAGGCAGAGGCAGGCGGATCTCTGTGAGTTTGGCCAGCCTGGTCCACAGAGCGAGTTCTAGGACAGCCAGAGCTACATATACACATATGTGACAAAAATTCTCAAAGAATTACTTAAATATCATATGTTTTAAAAAGTTCATGACACTGCGTATGGTCAATGCAGGAGAGTGTATCGGCCACAAAACCAGCACTGGGTATGATGGGAGGAGTTGCATGCCAGGCTTCGCATGCTTTGGTGAGAACTCCAGTTTGTACTGCTAAGGAAGGGCTAAGGTTACAGGAAGGACAGACCTGATGGAACCCAGGGGCTGGACATGGGGGAATGCTGCTGGAGGGAACAGAGGAGGCAAATATGACACAAAATTTCTGAATCTGGATCATGGCACCAAGGAAACAGGACAAAGGGCCTACGTTACTACTACAGAGAAAGTCTCTGGTCTTTCTCAGTTTGAGAGACCGATGTCATGTTCTCAATGTCCCTAAACATTCTATGCCTTGAGGGGAAGCAGTTGTGCCAGCTGAGGCACACTGCTGTAGCCAACACTGGATCTCCATTAGTCCCGGTATAGTTCCAGGGAACTCCACCCCCCCCCCTTGCACACATTCCTCTTTGTTCCCTATGCATGCCAACATTTCCAAAATTCCTGCAACTTTGCTTTCAAGAGAGTCACATTCAGCAATGCTCCTTCCCATGTGGCTTGAATGTGTCTGCACGGTTATCGGGGCACATTTTGATAACTTTTCTAGATCCACAAAGTCCCCAGATCATCATCCTGAGAGCTAAAGTGGTTTTTGTAGAGCTAAATTCACAGAGTCTCGTCCAGATTCAGTTTCTGAGCCCCAGCCCCGTGCACTGCTGACACAACGCTCGGCATGCCCACTCCCCTTTCTAGGCCTCAGCTGCCCCATTCAGTCACCCCTCCAACGCGTTATTCCAAATCTTTCCTGGCCCCTCTGATGCTGAATCCCCAACTCAGGTTTTAGAATGTCCCACCCATCCTCCCGCACTCCCGCCCAGCTCTGTCGCCCACACGCAGTGGCCTCCAAGGACAAGGCCACAACTCTTACCAGGTTTAAACACTCTTGCGGTCGACTTCAGCTTGCTAGCAACCTGCAACCAGCGGACTTCAACCCAATACCAGTCACCCTTTTCTAGGGAGAGGTATGAGCCCACGATCAGCCGAGCTTCCTTCACCATGTTGATTGGCTGCGTTCGGCTCCGGCGCAGCCAATTGACACTCGCAGCGTGATATTGCCCAATGAGGCCAGTCCTTGTCGCCGCTGCAGTGCCCTTTAACCTTGGGGCGGGCTTTACCAGGTTAGCGCCACCCGCTTTGTCGGCAAACCAATGGACATCGGGCCGCGCGCGCGCGGAGCAGTGGGAAAGGCGCGGAGGCCGCTAGTACGCCGTTGCCTTAACAACCGGTTGCGGAGGCGTCCATTCGGTGATGGTAAGTGCTGGACGTTCGTTGGACCCTGCGCGGCGCCCCCGAGCCCTTCCTAGGCCTCTTTGCGGCCCCGAGCCTTTCCTGCAGGGTTTATGCACTAGTTCTTTTTTGGAGCTCTGTGCCGGAAGGGTAGGAGAGAAAGTAAAGCCGCCTGCAGCTAGCCTGCCTGCGCTTAGCCATTGCTCCCTCCCCACCTCCAGTCACCTTCAGCTTTCCCTTACCTGCCTCCCGGCCTCCGCTGGTTTTCCTGGAACCGCGGGTGACCAGTCGGTTGCAAGGAACACTCAGGCTTCCCGCAGACTCTGACCTCAGTCAGACTCAGGCCTCCCGCCCGCTGCTATCTGGCTAAAGTTTATGCATGGTGGTAAGACGTTTACTATGTTCTGATGGTTGCAAACGTATTAAGGCTTCCAGGAGATGCTTGAGCTTCGCAGACAAGGCACGCAAGTGCCAAATGGATTGGTTCGTATCACTTTGTACTGGCATAATATTTATCTCAGTAACTTTACGTTTGGCCAGATTTAGGCATAATGAATCGGAGGAGCACAGTTCGTGGGAACTAGCCCCACAAGTAGATGTTTAACAAGTAGATGATCCCCGGATTCAGGGATAGTTGATATCTGTTAGATATCCAAATTGGTTTTTCAGCTAGTTCTCTTTCACGAAGAAGAATAAGGGATTTCCTGGCTTCTAAAATCAATAGTTTAAAAAAGAGTCAGAGGTTCATGGAAAGATTAATTGTTCTTTCTAGCAAACTTTGTTCTTTCTCGATTTATTAGGCAGATCTTTAGAATAGGTTGGTACAAACTGTTTTTCCATTCATTACTGCTGTCTGAGTTAGCAGTGGAATTAAAACACGGAGGGACCGTTTTCATCTTTGGTAATGAAAACTGAAGCCACACCGTGTTGTGACAGTGTATTCATAATAAAATGATACGCGTGTTCCTGACGAACAGGTATGGTCTCACGTTTGCTGTTTATTAGCTTTGGAAAAGAAGGAGAAAATTCAAGCATGTTAAACCTTTAGGTAAAACAGTACATTCATTCAAAGAGTTTTTTAATGTTGCTTTTTTATATTTGAAAAATTTTGATTTAAGAAATGTTGTGGTAGAAGACAATCATTTAATTAGAGTATTGCTGATTTTCTATTTTTACAATGTGGTGGCAAAAACGAAAATATATTTATTAAAACAGTTTTAAATTGAGAGAGTTTTTTCACAGAGGATTTTTTTTTTAGAGTTGGAGTTAATTTTAGTTTAGTTTTTACACTTGTTTGTGTGGGGGGAAAAGGGAGCATGGCTTAGCTTGAACATGGATGGAGGCCAGAGAACAACTTGGAAGAGTTGTTTCGTTCCCACCATGTGGGTCCTGGGTTCCCACTTAGGTTGTCTAGCTTGACTGCAAGACATCTCACCAGTTTATGAAAGTTTGTATAATGTCATCCGTACATTACTCAGAATGGAACAGAAATGGAAAAGATGTATGTCTAGACCTGTCATAAATAAAATATGGACTTGTAATATAGTGCTTCTGTGTTTGTATAATGTTTGAAGGCCTCTAATTTTAAGAAGACAAACATGGCATCCAATAGTCAGAGAAAAAGAATGAGCCCTAAGCCTGAACTGACTGAAGAACAGAAACAGGAAATCCGGGAAGCTTTTGATCTCTTTGATGCTGATGGAACTGGAACTATAGACGTCAAGGAACTAAAGGCAAGCTGCACAAATACTTGCTTTGCCACCTTCTCTTTCCCTGTTGCTTGTCTTTTATTTGTCACCTTCTCCCTTCTCCTTATAAAAAGTAATGGAAAAAGGTACCCTGTGTATATTTTACCTGAAACAATGATCTAATTGATAAAGTTGATTGCAAATATAAATAAAATCAGCATTACAGTGTTACCTAATTATTTTTCATCATTTTATCAGGTGCAACAGTCAGTTTTGCTTCTACATCATTTGTTTAGATTGTACTCTTTTCATTGTAGGTTGCAATGAGGGCCCTGGGCTTTGAACCCAAGAAAGAAGAAATCAAGAAGATGATAAGTGAAATTGATAAGGAAGGGACAGGAAAAATGAACTTTAGTGACTTTTTGACAGTGATGACTCAGAAAATGGTAAGTTAGTTGGGATAATGCACATATTTTCCATCCATAATAGTAGATATATAGGATTCTAGGTATAAATAGAATATTCAATAAAATCTATACCATTCACATGGTTGAGGATTGTGTTTTTAATTAATTAACTAATTTTACATATCAACCATAGTTTCTCCTCCCTCTTCTCTTTCTGTTCCCTCCCCTACCTCCCCCATCCTCTCCTCTGTGTCCATTCAGAAGTGGGAGGATTGTATTTTTAATTAGAGAATCCCTAAGTTTCATTTGGCTTTCTTTATGGTCACAGCATTACAGAAATCATTTTACCCTGTTTCATATGATAATCACAAGCAGTAAAATCTGTTAACAGAGATTTTCAAATGCTTCTCATTTCTATTTTTTATTTTAATGGTATTAAAAATTAAATTAGCATACAATAAATCAGGTATTATGGCATTTTCAGACAAATGCTTCTCAGTTTGACAATTCAGTATATACAATTAGAGGCACAAGAATTTTGAGCTTTAGAAATGATAGGCTGTTTTGGTACTTCTAAGGTTGCTTTAATCCATCCCTAGTTTCTCAGATCCTTTAGCAGTCCAAAGACTTGAGAGCACATGAACACGTCACCGGAACCGACCAGTTTTACTCTTTCAGTGGCCTCCTGGCTTGTTGGTGTGTCATGATCACCTTCTCTTAGTATACCTGGAGAAAGGTAACCCCTTTCAGGTTCCTCAAAGTGTTTCCCAGGGCACAGGCCATACCTCTTTAATTAATCTAAGAGTTGTGTTGCTTTGAAATCACCATATCTACAGTGTGTGTGTGTGTGTGTGTGTGTGTGTGTGTGTGTGTGTGTATGTGTGTGTATGTGTACTGATTTAAGAATTCAGGAAGCTTGGTATTCTGCAACCATCTGGCAAGTCGAATTCACACTCAAGATTAGCTCCTAGATTGCTCTTCCTAGGGATTTTCTCCAGTTGTAACTCCTGGCAAGAACCTTCCTGAAATATTCAAGGTTTGAATGCTTTTGGAAATTTTGCTCTCTTTCTGTTGGAGCACTTGGGGCCTCAGTAATTCTTTAAAGTCCATTGTGCAAAATGTCTCTCTCTTCCTCTGCCTTTTCAGTGTATCTCTGTCTTCTGTTAGTATAAGCAGTGTATTTTTTTTTAATTATAACCCTACTCACTGCTTCTGGATTTTACAAATGAATCTAGAATATCCTTGGTTTGTACAGTGTTTTAGATACAATTACATTTCCTTTGTAACCCTTGAGTTTGTGTTAAGTTTACTGGTTTTCTCTTCCTTTTCTACAATGGGTCATCCTTGTTTTTCTGTGACTGAGGACATGTATTACAGTGGCTATTACCAAGCCCATGTGATGATGTGGAATGGGGCCAGGGAATTAATCTACAACTCCCCCCCCCCCCCCGGCTTTAGAACTGGGGAAAGTTGTGAACAAGACAAAGCACAAGAGGGGCAATCGGTATCAATCCCTACTAATACCCAGCACTGGGTATTGGAAAGATGAGCCCCAGCTTACTTCAGAAGCCCTAGTCTTCTACCTGTGAAAACTGTCCAGCTGCACCATGAGTCTGTCCTCTCTAAATGATTCATTGACCCCTCAAACCAGTCTTTATGTACATTTAGCAGGACTTCTTGGATTTTCAACGGAGCTGGCATCTTTTCCTACTGGATTCCGAGCTGATTAGGAAATAGACGATGGGCTAGAAAGTAGACAGGGAGTACATTCTACTGTGACCAGAGAGCTTGGCTTCCTGGCTCCTAACATGACTCAAGTCAGGTTATTGGAGACAAAAGGATGACCAAGAAGTGACAGGGCTGCAGGATATGAGTAACTATGTGTTTTATGTTCTACTAAAGTCTGAGAAAGACACCAAAGAAGAAATCCTGAAAGCTTTCAAGCTCTTCGATGATGATGAGACTGGGAAAATATCATTCAAAAATCTGAAACGTGTGGCCAAGGAGTTAGGCGAGAACTTGACTGATGAGGAGCTGCAGGTGAGTAATGCCTTGGTCTCTCTGGAGCCCGCTGGCTTTCCCAGGTTCTATTTTCTCTACTAGGACAACTTGGAAGGGAAGCTAGTATCCTTTATGCTTCTGTTGATAATTTAATGCCCATGGACCCTGCTTCTGGAATACACATGTGCAGTTGAACGTACTCTTTTGGGTTTCAGACTAGGGTAAATTTCTAGCTCCTTTTCAAGAGATGCATTTGACAGTGTGTGTATGTGGCACGCTCCCATTAGATGGACCATAGTCATCTTTCCTCACAGCATTATTTGAAATTTCTTATCTAATCACTTTTCAGTTTAGTTTGTGACTTGTTCTAAGATTAACCCTTACTGCCATACAGGAAATGATTGATGAAGCTGATCGAGATGGAGATGGCGAGGTCAATGAGCAAGAGTTCCTGCGCATCATGAAGAAGACCAGTCTCTATTAAGATCAGTGCTTCTTTTTCTACTGCAAGCACATGTGACTAGATTTAGTGCCTGCCATTTTGTGAAATATGGCTTTTGAGAACCCCCCTCCCCCAACCTCTGGGGTAACTAGCCGTGACCTTGAATCTATTTTTGACTTTTGGAAGTTTCTTTGATATTAAGTTCTTTGTACCTTTACCTGCTGATTGATTCAACAGGGCAACACAAGAGCACATAGTGGGGAAAAGGGTCTGAGAGTGAGTGTAGCCACCCCGCCTTCTATTACTTCACACTGCTCATGCATTCCACATAGCTGCAAACAAACCATGGCTTCTTAGATGTCCATGTACCCATGTTACCATAAGCAGTGGTTGTTCTAAAACTGTTCTAGTTTTTAGTAGACACCAGAGTGTAGTTTTTCCTCTCATAAAACCTAATGAATGCTTGCTGTGGCATTTGGATGTATGTCAATGTATTTGTTTTGTTTTAAAAATAAAACCTTTCTTAATTTAAGCTCTCATTCTTTAAAGGATGAATATTTTTATCTTTAACTGTAAGTTCATCGTGTAAACAATTGTGTTGAGGGCAGCCTGGTAGATATATAAAATTTGCCATCAGCCCATGTACAAAAAAGGAAATAATTCTTTGCTACTTTTCTGCCATGAATGGTTTCTTGCTTTCAAAAATTGTGAGTTTTTATAACTGGTAGAATTTCCAGTTGACCTAACCTTAAACGATGCTCTACAAGTGGTTCTGGCAAACTCTAAAGCTTATAGAGTCTTTGGGTAATTTGTGCTTGGACAAAATAGAGAGGGATAGACAGGAGGTAAGGTTCAGGCGATCTTGTGAGTTTGTTTGCTTATAGCATCTCACAGAATCCTGGGGTTGGGTTGAGAAGGAAAGGGGGGTACCCTCTAAGCCTACACAGAATTGCCTATGAGGTGAAGCTCAAGTATGTGGCATTAAAGTCAACTCATGTTCCCCATGAGAGTGGGGAACAAGACGGGTTAAAAGGAAATGGAAAATGAACAATGACTGAATTATTGATCCTCACATGAGAAGAGAATGGGTTTTTAAACTTGTGTGGGCATTCTAGTCCTCTGAGAAATATGTGTGTGTTTTCTAAATATCCATATATATGTATTCCATATATATTCATTATATATATATACTTATATACATACATACATATACAAAACTAAAAATAACAAGAGTCAGGCAGGTAATCATACTTGTAATCCCAGTACATAGATGGTTTCCATGAGTTCAAGGCATGCTGGGGCTACACAATGAATTTGAGGTCTTTCTGGGTCACAAAGTCTGACCCTGTCTCAAAGAAGCAAAACAAAACAACAGCAGCAAAGCCCCACACAACTAGATCAGTTTGAATCAGATCATCAATGGATATATATATGCATTCAAAAAATCTTTAGATTTATTTATGTGTTTGAGTATTTTGCCAGCATGTATGTCTGCATGCTATGTGTATGCCTGGTGCCTGCAACATCAGAAGAGGGCATAAGATCCTCTGTAACTGGAGTTAGGGACAGTTGTGAGCCACCATATAGGTTCTGGGTACTAGAAATAGAACCCAGGTCTTATGCAAGAGTAGCAAGGTTCTCTTATTCACTAAGGAATCTCTCTGTCCCTCTCTCTGCTCTCTCTCTGCTCTCTCTCTCTCTCTCTCTCTCTCTCTCTCTCTCTCTCTCTGTCTTTCTCTCTCTCTCTCTCTCTCTCTCTTTAATAATAAAAGGAAGGAGACAAAGAACCACGAGTAACCTCAGACTTAGGTAGTAACATGGGTTCTCTTACTGGATGAACAATTGAGACAAGCTGCCTCTCTTGGTGCCTCAGATTCCTTTTTGTACAATGGAGAGAATGATTGAACTGAGAATTTCTGGGGGTCAACTGAAAAATTCTTAACAGGACCTACTTTCTGGTGTTCGAGAATAATCTCATCCCTTTGTGGTGGTATGTCCTTTGGAGCAGCTCCATGAAACTTATGATCATTGTCCCCAAAGTCAGTTGACAACATTTTTTAGGAGGATGTGGCTTTTATCTTTTGATTATTGTTTTCTAATAAGAGGTCTATGACCTGATAAGACAAAGGGTTGGAAAGACTGGCCCTTCCTCCCATTTTACTATGAAGTATAGCCCTACAAAATCAATTTATGTTTAATGAGCAAGTAAAAGTTCTTTATATTTAGTGGAATCACAGTTATATTTTAAAATAGATCTACTTTGTGAAATAGTGGAATCAAGCTAATTACCCTGAAAACATTTCTTCCTGCTTAATGTTCCCAACTATGAAATCAAATCTCTTTAGAATCTCTTGATGAAGGTGTTAGGGCAGCTAGTTGCATATCATCTCCAGTTACATAAGCAAATAGAAGGAAGTCACCATGTCCTGCAGTGCAGCCATTATGTGATTCTCGGTGCAGGAAACAGGGTGAGTCATCCAAAGAGGGAGGTGGGGCTGAGCCAAGCAGCTGTGTGAAGGACAGGAGCCACGTGAGTTCAGTTCATGTGGAGCCAGGCAAGGGACACTGTAGGAATTGGGTATGTATGGTAAGCAGGGAACTAAGTGTGGCAAAAAGATAGATGGAATGGGTCCTAGAGACAACTGAGGATGGTTCCTGCGTGATTGTACACTCAGGAGGCGAGGGAAAGGCACAGTCATTCATGTTGGTAGATGTGTAGCTTGTCTGTTCATAGAAGCAGTGGAAGCAAGGGGAAGAATGGATCAGAGATGTATTAGAAAATAGGAAGGGGTCAGATAGTGGAGGAACCAAGGTGAGTTGAGTTCATGAGAACCGAACACATGATGTATGGAGGTGGTAGGAAGAGAGGGAAAATGGAGCAGAGAAATTTGGGCTGAATGGTATTGAAGACAGTAGTAATGAATTGGTGTGAGCTTTGTTCAGTGCTGTCTCGGGTGTAGTGGGAATTTGATGTGGGAGTGATTTCTTATTAATAAAGAAACTGCCTAGGCCCCTTGATAGGCCAACCCTTAGGTGGGTGGAGTAAACAGAACAGAATGCTGGGAGAAAGAAGCTGAATCAGAGTCGCCATGATTCTCCCACTCCAGACAGACGCAGGTTAAGATCTCTCTGGTAAGCCACCTTGTGGGCTACACAGATTATTAGAAATGGGTTAGATTAATATGTAAGAGCTAGCCAGTAAGAGGCTACAGATAACGGGCCAGGCAATGTTTAAAAGAATACAGTTTCTGTGTAATTATTTCGGGCATAAGCTAGCCATGCGTGCGGCCAGGTGCCGGGGACGCAGCCCCTCCACTCTTATCACTACAGGAATTGGGAATTGGGAAGGAGCAGAGATGAGCTTTGGAAAGAGGAGTGGAGAAGAGGCCCATTCATATTGGGTTAGTGGGCCTCCTGAATAATGTAAGGCATAGTAAGTGCTCATGAAAGAACAGTTCAGTGGATGAATCTTTTTTTTTCTCTTTCTAACTTGTTAGAAAAGCTGGATTCTGAAGACACACTGGCACTGAGTTCAGAATCTATCTGAGAAAGCTGTTAAAGGCGAGAGGTAGTTGAATTGCAGTCCTTGCAAGACATGGAAACACATGGGCAGGACCCTGGAGGAGGAGGGCTCCGTGTAGACTGGCTTCTCTAGGTATCATGAAGCGCCTTTACCCTCTACTGGATCCTACATTGTTTGGGGACTATTGTGCTTCAGTCCCATATGGACACTTTCTGCCTTTTCTCCTTCCTCCTGCTACAGTTTCTTTGCTGCCTCGAATAATGAGAGATAACATGTTATTTACCGTGTTCCTTGGTAAACTTCCTCTTTGGGAAGCCTAGTAGTTAGACCATGTGTTTAGAACCAGGCCACATAACTACCAGCTCCTGGGCATCTCCACTACTGTGTGGTGATTTACTCCTTTGGCTTTTTGAGGGGCCCACCACCCAGCTCGCAAAGAAATCATACACAGAGGCTTATTCTTAGTTATGTATGCCTGACCTTAACTTGTTTCCTGACAGCTTTTCTTAACTTAAATTTTCCAGACTACCTTTTGCCTCTGGGCTTTTATCTTTCTCTGTTGCTGTACACCTTTCTTTACTTCTTTCTCCGTGGCTTGCTGTGTAGCTAGGTGGCTGACCCCTGGAGTCCTCTTCTTCCTGTTCTCTTGCTCCTTCTCTTCCTCATTTTGCCTTCTATTTATACTGTGCTTGCTAGCACCGCCTATCCTTGCTCCTGCCTCGCTATTGGCTGTTCAGTGCTTTATTAAACCATCAGGTGTTTTAGACAGGCAAAGAATCACAGCTTCATGGAGTTAAACAAATGCAGGATAAACAAAAGCAAAACACCTTAAAATAATATTCGCCAGCACTCCACCATCTACTTGGAAGAACTTCTCTGAGGTTTAATGGCTTCTGGGAGTGCTGACCTTGCAGACACTGGTAAGTGCAAGAATCTCTGGCTCTCCTTCAGTTCTTCTCTTGAGCCTCCTCCTGCTTTAACCACACTGCAGACCGGGACTGCTCATCTTGGTTTCATTTTTGTTAGGCTTTCAGATAGTAAAATTTTGGCAGCAGGATCAAAGGAAGTAATAGGATCAAAACCACAGCTGAATAGCAGTTGTGCCTTAGTTACTAGCTCACAGAGAACATGCAGTTTTTAGTCCACTAGAAACAGAGGCATCCATCAGTTTGAATTGCTTGCTGCTCTGATGGCATTTGCTCATGAAGCCAAGACTACCTCCCCTGGACCAGTCTAGGACATGCCCTTTTTGAGCCTTCCACTGTGATTGGCAGCTTACAATAAGTTGCTGCCTCTTCCACATTGATTCTCATCACCTGTTTTGTTTGCTGTTCGATTCCTATGCTGGACTTTGCTAGAGTATTTTGCACCTTCCACTATAGCCAAAGTAATCTGCCTGCACTGATTGTGGTTAGAAAGCTGTGCTGCCAATCTAGTGGGCCATCCAATCTAGTGTGTCATTCTAGAACATATTCTCTCTCTCTCTCTCTCTCTCTCTCTCTCTCTCTCTCTCTCTCTCTGTGTGTGTGTGTGTGTATGTGTATAGTGTATACACCCCCACCTGAAGGTGTCTGTGCTTATAGAGGCCAGTAAAGGGCTTCAGATCTCCTGGAAGTGAAGTTATAAAGCCATTGTGAACCATCCAACATGAGTGCAGGGATTTGAACTTGTGACCTCCACAAGGATTCATACTCAGGATTCTCCTCAAGAGAAGCAAATGCTCTTAATTATTGAGCCATCTCTCCAGCCCTGCCTAAACTCTTAGGAGAGCTCTGGCCTCATGGCTAAGAATATCCCTGTCAGCCTTTGAGGAATCTAGAAGGAAGCCTCCTCTTATGTTTTGCCACTGAGGGGTCTTCTGTCCTCCCCTTAACCACTGTTTTCTTTGCTCTGACCATCACCAAGGCTTACTCTATAGAAGTCATTTTGAGCTACCCCTCCATTTTGATTTCTTTTCTTAAAAATATTTAATGTGTGTATATACTTTGCCACCATGCATGTATGTACAC